CTTAACATGGTGAGATGGTCTATTTTGTGTTTTTACCATTATTAAAAATAAAGTTTCCATTAAGTTTTGCTACTGACCGTAGGGCAGCAAACACGGGATTTCACGAGGAGATACAGGTTCTCTGAAAGGTGGGAGCAGGTTCGGCGATGACAGTCAGACAAAAGCACTCAACACCGAGGAGAAGTTTGCAAATGCTGCTGCAAAATTTATTTTTCAAAGAGCTTCTTTTATACAGATTTCTATTTCCTTATAGCAAGTCAGGGGCAATGAGCTGATCTCTCTAGGCATCTATTTCCGCTTGCTGAGCTGGCGCCTCCCAAATACATCATTATAGAATACATTGTGAAAAGTTAGCAGGAGTTTAAGCTTTCTTTCCATCTTAGCTGATAATATGCCAGTGGCCATTTTTTCCCCAATGATTCATCGTTTCTCAGATGTTTGACAATATATGGTAATTCTGATGAAGTATCAGTAACGTCTGTAACATTACATGCTATTTTCCTGAGAACTATTTCCTTAAAAGAAATATTCCCCTCAAATGCACCTTCTGTTCAGTTATTATTTGACTGAGAAGGCTGTGTCCAAACAGTGACATTCTTATCCTCCATATCTTTGGGTACATCTAATCCTTCTCCTTCTTGAAAACCACTAGGCATTTTCAAAAAACACAAACACACAGAGATCAATAGAAAATAAATCAAAATTGTAACAGAACCCATTGTCCCCAAGCTGCAGGCCAAGAAACCAACGATTCCTTCTTTGGCTGACTTTTAATGCGGTGCATGCCAAGGACCTCCAGGAGGCTTGACCCCGAGGGGACGATACCTCAGATCCGGTTTCCGCCAGGTGGTCGGCATTGTCACGCAGATTCCACTGGAGTGGTCGTGGCAAAGTTTATTGGTACATTTAAGGTAAACAATAGTTACATTCATCATTGGGATCTTGCACCTTTACCTGACTTATCTTGGTTCTCATTTTTTCCCCATTCCCCTGCCCTCCCTTCACCTCCACCCTTCCCTATTTACAAAGACTTTCTTTCCATTTTTTCTGTTTCTCATATTTTTTCTTTTTTCTTCTTTCCTTTCCCCTACCCCTCCCACTTTCGCTATCCCTTTAGACCTTTTCTTCCTATTTCACATTATCAATTATACATTTTGATCCTTATTTACACTTTTAGTTTCTCACACCAGTGAAACTATTCAGTATTTACACGTGTGTCCTATTTATTTTACTAAAGAGTATGTCTTCAATATGCATCCATTTATCTATAAATGTCTCTAGTTTCTCATTCTTTATGGCTGAGTAGTACTCCATTTATAAGAAAAAAAATAAACCCACATTTTCTTTATCCAGTCTCCAGTGGATGACAATAGGGCTGTTTCCAATTTTTAGCTATTACAAACTGTGCTGCTATAAACATGGGTGCACATATATCACTGTGGTATGATTCTTTTAATTCTTTGGGGAAGATACCCAGCAGGGGAATAGCTGGGTCAAATGGGACCTCTTATCCTAGTTGTTTGAAGTATCTTCACACTGATTTCCACAGTGGCTGAACCAATTTGCCCTCCCACCAACAACGGAGAAGTGTTCCTGTCTCCCCACAGTCCCACCAGTATTTGTTATTGGTTGATTTCATGATAGCAGCCATTCTTTCTGGGGTGAGATAGAATCTCAGTTTTGTTTTCATCTGCATCTCTCAAAGGACCAGTGGTGTTGAACATTTTTTATATGTTTATTTGCTGCTTTTAATTCTTTGTCTGAGAAATGTCTGTTCATTTCAGATGCCCATTTTTGAGCTGGACCTTTATATTTGGGCGGGATTTTTTTAAGTTCTTCATATATTCTACATAGTAGTTCTTTGTCTGAGGAGTAGCTGGTAAAAAAAATTTTTCCCACATTGTAGGTTGTCTCATAGCTCTGTTGGTGGTTTCTGTTGCAGTGCAGAAGCTTTTAATAAGATGAGATCCCAACTGTTGATTCAAAATTAAATTTTAAAGAGGATGAATAGTATGCACGTCATGGAAATCTCGCAGAAAATAATATAGAGCATTGAAATTGGTGCCTGGCACATGGTGAATGCTTGATTAAAAATATTATTTTGTCAGTGCCACTATTTAAAACAATGTCTCTCTTTACATGTATAGAATTTTTGTTTGTTTTTTGTCAACTTCCCTAAAAAAATCAGATAAGAAAAGAAAAAAACTTCCTTGAAACAGGTAATCTTCAATTTGAATCTGAATTTTCAAAAATTCCTAAGTTTCTGGAGGGGGATGAAGGCAAGTGAGTCAGCACAGCCTGAGGCCCCTTTACCTGACCTTATCACCCACTGTCTAGCTGCCATTTGTTGAGTTTTCTATTACTTGTTCCCAAACATATTAGCAAACCGGAATTATTCATGTCAGTAATGGGTGTCTGAGGAGACAAAGAAGAAAGACCTGTAGGGAAGGGCAGGACTCTTAAGGAGCCCTGGACATCAAAACCATCTGAAAGGCACTTTTCTCAGACGGGTCAAAAGCCTTGGCCTTGGCTATTGCTGCCATCTAATGGTAATATTTTGGAACTAAAATATTGGGTTGTTTTTTTTGTTTTGTTTTGTACTGGATATCGAACTCAGGTCCTTGCGCTTGCAAGGCAGTTGCCATAAAATATTGTTTTTTTCCTTCAGTCTTTCTCCTTTCCTTCCAGTGCTGGTACCCTTGGGGTACACTTTTGTGCACAGCCCATTTAATAAAATTCAGAACCTACTTCTGCATGAAAGCTGACCATTTGTAGGGAAGAAGAGCCCTTAAGGAAGGGATTCAGGCTCTTTTGTGGAGGGTTGGTGAATGCACCTGGGGCCTTCTATGTTTTTCTCATCAAAAGGAGGTTAGAAACAGACTTATCTCCAGTTGGAGCCTCTCTGACTTGGGTGTCAGTACGGAGCAAAATCATTCTGGCTCTTTTGGAGAGGCAATGGGTGATAAAGTTTGCTCACCCTCCTCTTCTTCCTGTCTTCACTTAATTTCCCTAAACTTTTTCTCCTGCTCCAATGGACTCCTCTGAATTTGAGCCCCTGGGTTATCTTCCAGTCTTTATTATTGTCTTTGCTAGTTGATTTTGCTTCATTCTCATGTTAATGTACTCAGGTGAGCTGACAGGGAAAGTGATGAAAACATTTGAGTGATGGTAGATCAAGGTGGCTACCTATAAATGTGTCTCCTTCATAAATCTCAAAAAAAACAAAAATGGTTTTTGCATTTTTGGATCTTGAACCCAGGGCCTCATAAATTCTAGGCAAGCACTCTGTCACTGAGCTACGTACTCAACCTTTTAAATCTGCTATTTAAATAATTTTCAACACTCCAATAATAATCCATCTTTCAAACTATATATGCCAACATTTTATCTCAGATTAAAAGCAAGATGTAGTCTGGGTCAAAGTCTGTAATAATCTTTTTTTAAATTTCAGTACCAGGTATTGAACTCAGAGCCTTGTGCTTTCCAGGCAGGCACTATTGCCACTGAGCTACATACCTGGCCCCAGTCTGTGACAATCTTTTAATAATTGTGTTAAATTAGATCAGATTGACTTTGGAACAGAAGGAAAAAAGAGAAACAATACTTTGCATGATATGATTTCTCCCATTCTCTGCTAAAAATAATAAACTAAAGGGAGTTTTCACTTGAAAAGGACCCAGAAAATTTCCTAACTGTATCATCAATTTTCGGAGATATAAAAATAACTTTCAGTCATTACATACAAGTTATAATTACAGAAAAATATATAAGACTTTAACCACCATAATTGCACTACTTACAGGAAATCACTCAAATCATTTACATTTTACAGCATGCCCTAATGAGCTTGTATTAATACACAAATAACATACCATCATCTAAGGAATATTGTATATTTACAACTTAGCACTATGCAAGGAGCAACTTCCCATGGCAAAATTTCTAAGATCACCATACTGATACTTGTATAACATTCACATTTAAACTATGTACCATAATCCATAACCTTTCATCTATAGGTTTAAGTAAAACAGAAAGACCATTGGAGTTTGTCGACCTTTATCTAAATTTGTGGTAATTTTTGTATTCATGAAAATTTATTACTGCTTGAATGGGTATGAACATGTTCATATAGAGGGATCTGTATAATTGGGGGCTACAATTAGTATTAACCTTTCTAGATCTTAAAATCCTAATCTGTAAAATGGTGGGAGGTTTGTAGAAGGGCCAGGGCTTCTTTATAGTCCTTATTTTCAACTATTTGAATTTATTCTCTTTGTCCTCTTTAGGGCTAAGAAAGCATTTCAACAGGTTGCCATCTAATCAATTCCACTTGTTACTTCATATTATCGTTTTGAGTATCTACTCCTTGCTAGTTATTGTTTAAAACATTGTATATATAATGTTTGTAAACTCTACAGCAATCCTCTGCAGTTAATTCGTCTTGAGAAATTGATGTAAGAGGTGATATAAAGAATTGAGATACTTCTGACTTCCAAACACTTGTTTCTCGCACTTCGAGACAATGAAATGATGACAATTTTTGCAAGAAACGGAAACGTGGAATTTAAATCTGATTCTTTCAGCAACTAACTGTCGGTGCTGACGTTGAGTGCAACTGTAGCCTACACAGGAATTCCCCAAATTCAGCACAGCAGCACTAAAAAGAGTCCATGAGGGTTCTGAAAGGTACCTACAAATTTTACACCGTTTGTTTGTTTTTTAAAATAGGGTCTCACTATGTAGCTCAGGCTGGCCTTGAACTCTCTTCGCTCCTCCTACCTCAGCCTACTGAGTGCTGGGATTACAGGCGTGCTCCACCACGCCCAGCTAATTTGATGTCTTATAGACCATAAAATCCCTTGTTTTTATTAATTTCAGGCTGAGGCAAGAAACTGGCGATTGACCACAACAAAGATGGCTGAAGGTGCGTCAATACGGAAACGGAGACTTCGCTTGCTGCTTTAGTTTTAGTTCCGGCCTGTTTGTTTGACGTCACGTCCGGCCTCCCTGGGCGACGCGAGTTCTGTTCCTTGTCGCTTTGAGTTTACACTGGTAAGTGTAATTGACCCGAAAGTCTCCGAAGGGAATTTGAAGGAATGCGCGCGCTAGCGACATGGAGAGAGAAGGCGTGCAGTCCACAGGTGTTGTCGCAGTTGTGACTGAACCTCAGTTTACCCAGCGATACAGGGAATATCTCCAGAAGCAGAAACTCTTGGATCGACAGCACCGCCTGGAGAAGATGCCAGATGGCACAGTGGCGCTGCCGGTGCTCGGGGAGGCCTTCCTCGAGCAGCACCTGCTGGAGCTGAGGAATCACGTGGCCCCAGGCAGCACCTGTGTGCTAACTCAGCTACTGGATCCTCTTCCTTCGAAGAAGGCCCAAAGCTGTTCACCTGCCCAAAGACTGTGTCTTGAGGTAAGGCGCTGGGTAGAGGGTCGAGGAGTAACGTGGTCAGCTGAATTGGAAGCTGATTTGCCCCGTTCTTGGCAACTGCATGGTAACCTCTTATTGCTGAGTGGAGACTGTTTCCAAGCTAAGCAGTGGGAAGATATGGAACCAGAACTCTGGGAGACCGTTGCCTTTGCACTTGGTGTCCAGCGTTTGGCAAAACGAGGGAGGGTGATACCCAATGGCTGTCGAACTCCAGCAGTGACTTTGCTGCTGGGCGACCATGGCTGGGTAGAGCATGTGGATAATGGCATCCGATATAAGTTTGACGTGACTCAGTGCATGTTCTCCTTCGGAAATATCACTGAGAAGCTGCGAGTGGCATCGATGTCCTGTGCTGGAGAAGTGCTGGTGGATCTATATGCGGGAATTGGTTATTTTACATTGCCTTTCCTAGTTCATGCTGGTGCTGCCTTCGTCCATGCATGTGAGTGGAACCCCCATGCTGTAGTTGCTCTGAGATATAACCTGAAGATCAATGGGGTATCAGATCGGTGCCAGATACACGTTGGGGATAATAGGACACTGAAGCTCTCACACATTGCAGATAGAGTGAACCTGGGGCTCATTCCCAGCTCTGAAGAAGGATGGCCCATTGCCTGCCAAGTACTACGACAGGATGCTGGGGGCATTTTGCATATCCACCAAAATGTGGAATCGTTCCCAGGAAAGAATCTCCAGCCTCTTGGAAGCAGCAAAATGGTGAAACAGCATTATTCTTATCCTCAGAAAATTACTACTAACAAAGAGGAAAATGGAGCTACCAGGGATTTTAGGAGGAAAATGCTTTCACCATCCATCAAGCTAGAGTGGCAAAGGTGGGCCAAATCTGCAGAAACTCGGATTGCCACTCTTCTTCAGCAGGTTCATGGGAAGCCATGGAAGACACAAATCCTACATATCCAACTAGTGAAATCTTACGCTCCCCATGTGGATCATATAGTCTTGGATCTGGAATGCCGCCCCTGTCCTCTAATTGGCTAGAGGAGATAGATCCAGTGACACAAGGTAATCATGAGTGGCTCCTAATGCTTCAGCTCAAGCTGGGTTCTCATGTTTTTTTTATCTCCTAGTGATCTTTTTTAAATATTGTATGGCATGGAGGCATGCTCTACCAGGTGAGTCCAACCTACAGCTTGTAAGTTGGATATGCTTATAGTAAATAATAATAATAATAATGATAATGGAAGTTTTGCTACTTATATACATTAACTGTATTTTATTTTCAGCCCAAGACAGTTCCTCTTAATGGGGCCCAGGTAAACCAAATTTATTCTTTATGTAGTCTGGAGATGGACACTCCTGTGAGACCAGATCATTTCATATGTCAGTTGATCACAATGAGAATGTATCAAATATCTGGGGACAACAGCATGGCTAATTGAATGAGGCTCATCTGTGCAATTATGAATTTTGAATTCTGAATTCAGTTAAGTCCCCAGGTATGTGGTTCCAATATTCACTTGGTATTAGAGGCTTTTCTTATTTACAAGATGAGTGTTTCTTTGAACTGTTTGAGAAAGCTATTATCTAAGCAGTTGTACAGTGTTTGGTTATTTTAGAGTGAAAGATAGTACTGCTGTAAAAAGTACTGCTCTAGCTACAATGTGGAAAATTGGCTGGAGGAAAGCCAAGATAGAGACAGAGAGACAATGAGACAGGGAGATAGAGACAGATAGAGAAGTAGCTTCTGTAATTGTTCAGGCATTGAGGTAATGGTAGCTTGGAATGGGATGGTGGCAGTGGGAGATGAGTTGATTTGAAAAAGTCAATAGATCAAGCAGTGGAATCTGAATCAAAGTATTAGCATGATGCTGACTAGGGAAGGAAGACTGTGACAATTAGTGTAACTAACTCCATTTCTCCACTTAAACATTCCTAACTGAATGTGGGGGAATGTCTTAAAGTTAGGTTTATTGTGGTAGAAAACATTAAGAATCACTGCCCTAATTCACAGATATCTAAATTTCAAGTGTTAGGCTTGCCATAATTACCAATTTCCAGCAATTTTTAAAATTCTGAGTAAAATCTTGGCTTTTTATGGACCTCAAAGTTACTCCCTCATGAGATGCAATAGGAAATTGTGACATTCTGTGGAGCTTTTCAAACTTCACCTTATTTGATGGCTGTCTGCCATCACTAGGGTTTGCCATTTGGCTGACTAATAGTTGAGAATCACTTGTAGCTTTACTTTGGTGCATTCTGAAGCCATCTGTACTTGTTTTCTTGGGGAAGGAAATGTAAAAAAGTGTGGCTTTGTCTAGATTATAACTATACTCAACATTTGGTTCACAGTTGTGCAGAATTACTAATCCTTCTCTTGCAACATTAGCTCTAAAGGTGGCACTGTTCATGATATGCAGGAAATATTGTGCCTTCTATATTTAAGAGCCACAGGAAATATAAACATCTATCAGATCTTTTTTATATGGTTAGATAAACCACTTGTGCCTGAGGAACTCACAGCCTAGCAGCAGAAATAATATAAGTATTCAGTGACTTAGAATACAATAAGCTAAGTGCCATATGGATGATAGCATGTTGTAACAGTGCAAAAGTGGGAAGAGAGTTCTGAGAATTAAATGGGAAAGTCTACATAGAAGTAGTATTTGAAGTGGCTCTTGAAAACTGGCTAAGATTTGAATGGGTAGACGGGAGTAGAAACAGGAGCCGAAGTTTGCTCAGAGAGTGCACCATTGTTATTAGATAGTTGGGACAGAGGAAGCAGTAATACATATATTAAAGATGGGGATTGTAACAGTTAAAAAGCAACTTGTACACAGGAAGCTCCTGGGAAATGTTGGCTCCAGTGTGATCTCACCACAGAAAGCAGCCATTCATTTTTATCTTAGAGTAGCCTTCCTATGTTTACCCTAATCTCCTCCTGTACATACTGTTTGTTTTTTTTGTTTTTTTTTTACTTGTGTGCCTGTGGCTTGCTCCACTCAAGTTGCTAAGGATGCCAACATGGGGCTTCAACCAACATGGGGTAAAATGGAACAGCAACATTTGGGGACAAAGGAGTTTACTTTTGGCTCTAGCTCTGGACAGGCAGCCGATGTCAGGTTTAGCTTGTAGACTTCATTTGACTTTCTAAGGTAGAAGTATAGATACACTGAATATAAATATATTCCTGATATTGATCAGTTGATCAATAGATCAGGTCCTGAGTGTTCAGTGATGAAAGACAAGATTGATATGAGCTCTGCCTTCATCAAATGTGGGCCACACTCAACTCCTGGATTCCTCAACTTTCCCTGTGACCTCAGGCAAGGCATGAATTTCTCAAGATTTAGTTTCCGTGTCTTGTATGTTGGGTTAACAATTGTAGATATACTGTAGGATACTTGTATTTGTCACTTATCTATTGTTGAGACAAAATACCAAACATACACAGCTTTAAGAAGGAAAGAATTATTTTGGTTTATGATACCAGTGGTTTTGGTCCATGATCAGCCAACTGTATTTCTTTAGGCCTGTGGCAAGGCAGAAATGTGGAAGAGAGACATGGTAGAGGAAAGCTACTTACCTTAAGGCTTCCAGGAAACAGAGAAGGGAAAGAACCCAAGAAGAGATAGAGATATATTCTTCAAAAGCACACCCTTCAGGAACCTACATCTCCAAGTAGGCCTCGCCTCCTGACAGCCCATTCAGCCACTCATCAGTGGATTAATGTATTGATGTGGTTATCACTCTATGATCCAAGTACCACTTGAGGCCCCACTCTGAACATTGTTGCAGAGGGGACCAAGCCCTTTAACACGTGTCTTTGGGGATTTTTCATATTTAAACCATAACAGTAGTTGTTAAGTTTAAATGAGTTAACATGTTAAGCTGTCACAGTAATTGGCATATAGCAAATACTTCATTCACTCATGTTCTGTCTTTGTATACAATTTGAAACAACCATTTTCCAGTTTGCCTGTGTGGCATCTATCTAGTTTGCTTGAAGCAGAATGGCAGTTGAAGAGCTATCTGCACTATGTTCACTGCAGCACTGTTCACAATAGCCAAGATGTGAAAATAGTCTATGTATCCATCAACTAATGAATGGATAATGAAAATGTGGTACATATACACAATGGAGTATATCCAGCCATAGAATGAAATCCTGTCATCTGTAAAAATATGGCTGGAATTGAAAATCATTGCAAGTGAAATAAGCCAACCACAGAGAGATAAATATCACATGCTCTCATTTATATGTGGAATCTAAAAAATCTGATTTTATAGAATGGGGATTACCTAAAGCTAGGAATAGCTGGGGGAGGGGGAAGTTGGGGAAAGGTTAATCAGTGCCTACTAAATGATAAGATAGGAAAAATAAGTTCTAGTGTGCTGTTGCACATCAGTGTACTCTATTTTAAAAATGGAAGATTTTGAATGAGTATATAGGTATGTTTAATCTGATTTAAACATTACACAATATACACATGTATTAAAACATGGTGCAATGTTTGTTTTTATGTATTAAAGAAAGAGAAAATTTGGAAATGCAGGAGTTGAACTTAACTTTGAATAGAGATAAGTGAGGGGAAGGCAGAGGGAGTGAGACCTTAGTCTCTTCTCCAAGGAAAGCTATTCCTGTCTGCTTGAATCATCCTTTTGGGTCTTACTTTACAGTTATCATTGTGTCCTCCCCCTACCCCCTTCTCCATGTTCAGCAAGTTATTCCCCTTTCACTGGGGCAGAGTAGATTCATTCACTGGGAAGTATGGAGGTTGATTCATTTCTCTTTCTCTTAAAAGAGGAAAACCAGAAAGCTAAAGTACTAAATTCCCCACCAGCTCCCCTCCCCTGCAGCCACAGTGGCCATATGAACCAGTCCTGGAAAGGAGATATAGGCAAAAATCCCCATGGAGGGCTTTGTCTTAACCCTTGAGATGTAGCTAAGACTGCTAGAGCAGGATTGTAGGACTGCAATCTGTTCTCCCTATTGCTGGGCTGGAGGATACTGAGGATTGAACCTAGCGTTATGCTACCACCGAACTACCCACTAGTCCTTTTCCTGTGACAGTTTTGTTACCCAGGCTGGCCTCAAAGTTGTGATCTTCCTGCCTCTGCCTCCTAAGTAGTTGGGATTACAGGCATGTGCCACCATGTCTAGTGATAAGACTCTGGTTTCTTAAGGATATTCTTGGTCAGTGTATGAGCCCTGAAAAATCTCTGAACTTGTCATATTAAAAAAACCCAAAAAAACAAAAAAACCTGCACCCCACCCACAAACCTCTTAGTCATAAATGAGGTGTTCAAACTTAAAGGCAAGAAATATTTTTGATATTCTGAAAAATAGATTACTCAGATATATGATAGAAATTACAACAAAAAAGGCAGCCTTAGAATGCTTACACCCAAAATAGGGCATTTGAAATTAAAGTTCCTTTTCAGACATTTCAACTACTAATGCTGCTGCCATTTAGTGGAGATACTGTGGAAATAAAAATTGAACTTTGAACAATCTTCATGATTCCAGATCTGCCTGTTCTTGTCTTTCCCTCTTTTTTTTTTTTTAACCTCTTCACAAATATTTTTGAGCCCTAACAATGTGGCAGCCACTGTGATAACTGCTGGGAATAAAACTGAACAAACCAGACTCAGTCCTTGACTCCATTGACCTTATATGCTAATGAGGGCAATGACATTAAATAATCACTATTCACATAAAATGTTTCATATAACATCTCACATTTTAGTATGTGGTGGGAGGAGAGGTTTTGGTGCAATATGAAGCTATCAGGGTTGACCTGGTCAGGAAGATCAGAAAAGGTTTCCCCCAAAATGATGATTGAGCCATGAGCTGAATGGTGAGTAGGAATAAGGGACCCAAACAAGACAACATTCCATAGTGAGGACAGTGTGTACAAGTGTCCTGTGGAAGAGTGTGATGGGCCAAAACAAAGGCTTTGTGACTGGAAAGACTAAGGAATGAGGGGTGTTAATCAGGTGAGAGAGTTGGGTGGTAGTCACACCATGCAATATATAGTGTAGACTATATATTAAGAACCTTATCCCAGCAGCAATGGGACTTCACTGAAGAGTCTTAAGCTAAAATGTGACATGGTCAAATGGGTTTTATATTAACAACTTATCAGAATTCCCCCTCCCCAATGTTCTAAAATGCTTTAAAAATTATTCTCAACCTACACTCGAGTTCCCTAAATAGGCCTTTCCCCTAATCTGCCCTCCCTCATTTCCAACAAGTGCAGCAACACAGAATAGTGTAAGAAATTAGCCTTGTACACATAGTGGTGGAGAGCTGCTGTGTTAATATTTATGGGGAAGATAGTGGCCACAATGAGTAGACTCAACTGGGATGTATTCCACTTTCTGGAAAAGTTTGTGTAGAGTTGTTCATTTCCCAGTGAAATGCTCCATTCCTCTCTAGGTCTCTTAGTATTCTCTACCTTGTGAAATAGTTTCCTTGGGATCTTGAGTCCTCCTCGATTCCCTTCTATATGTCACAACCTGGAACCTTTAACAGGCAGTATGTTGGAATAATTATATGACTCACCTTGGTTGCTTCCCATCTCACATGGATTTCCACCCTTCATTGCCTATGTCCAGTGTCCTGACAGCTTTTTGCTAGAAACTGAGATTTGATGGTCTTGATAAGGACTTGATAAGTTGCTTCATTACCCAGGCTGGGTTTGAACTTGTAATCCTGTCTCAGCCTCCAAAAGTGCTAAATTATAGGCATACATCAGCATACTTGGCTTGTCTACTTTTTAACTATTTAGAAGTTTATAATAATTGTACTTATTACCTTTCACAATCACTGTAGAAATCCACTCTAGTACACATGCATTTCAATTAGCACAAAATTTCAACATGAATTCAAATTCAAAATTTAGAATGCTTTATATTATAAAGTGAATATAAACACATTAACAATGTAATGACTTTTTTATTAGACAATAGCCTGCAAAATTTTGCAATCACTGATCACATACAATTTCACAGAATCCAGAAACCTTTTTTTTTTGGTACCGGGGATCAAACTGGGGACATTGTGCTTGCAAGGCAAGCGGTGGCACCATCGAGCTAAATCCCTTTCCCTTAGAAACTGTTAAAACAGACATTTGTCTCTGGCTTTTTAAAGGTCAAGGTAGAACCAAAAGTAAACAGAAAATGTTGAAAATGAGATTAAAATGAATTTTGGTCTCTGTCTCTCACACACACAATAGCACTGGGGAGGTAAATACATATAAGTGATTAGACAGACTGTCCTATTTTAGTAATGTTTATTAATCAGAGCTTTACACATAATTTAAAAACCCAAAGGTAACAAAACCTGTTAGGGAAGAAAAAGAGCATTCCCACAACAAAACAATGAAGCAGCTCTCTCCTCATTCTGTGTGCCTACTTAAAACAATTTCAAATGGGCCTATATACTAGAGGAGATTCAGGGCCTAGCTAACCTTCAACAAGATCCATGAAACCCGCATAGAACTGGGTCCTGAGGGTGCTGGGCAGAAGCATTCTTGAGCATACATCAGTATATACTTATACTCTTGTCTTAGTGTTGTGCCATCACTAGAGCTGTTTATCAATAATACGTAACCTGTGCCCAAAATAACCCAAGCCAAGGGTCCACCCAGCCCCCGAGTTCCCAAGAAACAAGTTACCCCATGTAAAGACCTGCTTATGGACTTTACTGAACTGCCTTGTCTGCACCTTTTCAGGATGGGTTGAAGCCTTCCCCATACAAACAAAAAGGCACAGAGATAACCAAGGTGCTGATAAGAGACATCATCCCAAGATTTGGACTACCCCTGACCTCAGGAACAGACAGTGGACCAGCATTCATAGCAGTCCAGGAGCTCACACAGATGTTAAGAGATTAAAATGAAAACAGCTTACTGACCACAGAGCTCAAGAAAGATAAAATGCATGAACCAAACAAACAACTGCTGAAAACATACTGTCAAGAAAGCCACTTGAGATGACATCCAGTCTTGCCCATGGTCCTCCTCCAAGCCTGGCCTACTCCCACCAAACTGGGTATTCCCCTTATGAGATTTTGTTCAGCCAGCCATCCCCAATCATAAATTAAATTAAGAGTGATCTTTATAAACTAGGAAAACCAAAAAAACAGCAAAACAGACCAGACTTTGAAAATGGCCGTGCAAGATATGTATGGCTGGGTCAAAAAAAAAAAAAAATCATAAGTCCAACAGACTCAACACATCTCTTCAAGCCTAAGGATTTTGTTTATGTCAAGAAATAAAATGCAACCATTCTGGGGCCCATATGGGATGGGCCTCATTCTGTAATACTGTGTACCCCCAATGCTGTCAAAATTACAGAAACTGTGTCTTAGACTATCACGGTCAGCTAAAGCCAACAGCACAAGACAAGTGGACCAGCCAGCAGGATCCAGACCACCCAAACCAGCTGATCCTACAAGATCAGGCTGACACTGGAAATGACAGCCCTGCTGTAGTCATTCCTGAAGCTGACTAGTCTACACATGGAAGAAACCTAAACTGACCAGTCCACACATGGCTGAAGCTTGAGGAATCACAGCAACAATGTAAGTTTCTTAGCCTGTTTGTTATAATTCTCCCCTGCCTCTTACCCCTACTTGTCAAAAACATCCAGTCAGCCACAGACTCTTACACCAGCACACCACCACTTGACTGACCCTAACCAAGTACCAACCTCTGCTCAGTAGGTTACACTGAGCACACCCTTGTGACAAGAAACTCAATAATGATAGTAAAGATGCTATTAAAACTTGTTATAGAAAGCATCAAAGGAGGGAATGAAGCAGGATTTAAAAAGAAATTCTTCCCAGCATTAGGCAGTCTGCCCCCACCTTGGACCTCCCCACCACCCCGGCTGTAACTTCTTGTTCTGATACGGACAAAATTGACAACTATGTCCTGTAAACAAAGTGTATGACACTGTTCTCATGAGTCATAAGACACTGTCTTCTTTCAAGGCAAAGTTACAAAACTGTACTTGTCCTGTTCCAGTAAACTCACTTGCTACGTCGCTAGACCACCCCTCTTCCATCAAATGTATAAAAACTGAAACTTTTCTTTGTTCATTGCTCCTCCTTTTGACAGGAGTTCCTTGAGCTAGTGTTTGCCTAAAATAAAGTCTTCCTGATTCTCATTGGTCTCTCCTGTCTCTTGAATTCTGAAACAGGATGGAGGTTTTATTTTTCTACCCAAAGAAAAGGGTTTTCTAGGAGTTGGTATTTTATTAACAATGTTCCTCTCTCTACCAGAATCCTGGTAGAGGATAACCACCCACATAAAGCCCCAATATAAATTAGATTGCAGAATGCTCTTCAAACTAGAAATCAAGGCAGTCTTGCTTATTGTATCTCCCTTAATCTAAGACAGCTAGGAATGTAGCACAGCTGACGCTGATCTAATTTACGTCCTCATTTGGCAGTGAAGGAACGGAAAGACAAGGACAGCCAGACCTTATGAAGTGCCATGGATAGGCATGAAAATAAAGTCTCCTTGGCCATTAATAAAAAAAAGGTGATGAATGTCCTCAGTTCTGTCCTGAGGAGATGGGGGAAGATGTGTAAAGGGAAGAGAGGGATGCTTTGCGTACCACACCTACCCTAGGGCCAGGTGTGGCAGAAATCTCATAGTAGTAGGTATCTACACCCCAACCCAGACCCCAGAAGGCCTCGAAGATACTTCTCCCCCGAAACTTCTAACTTCTCTCAGACCCGGCTTCCGGGTGGGGTGGGGTGGGGTAGGTCTTCGGGGCAGCGTCCTTCGGCTTTTCTCCTCCCAGCATCAGGCAGCACGTTTACGGGACACATAATGGGCTCTAATAAAACAGCCCATAGTCTTCATCTGCTGCAGCACCGAGTCCCTCGTTAGGCAGACGCCAGCAATGAGCCGGGGGAGCGGCAGCCAGGGAACGTGCGTGCCACGAGGCACTGCCTGGCAGAGCTCAGGGCAGAGGTGGGCGAAAACCATGGCAACGGCTGGAGATTTCGGCAGTGCGTGGTGGCGCGGGCGCGCGCGCGCAGTGCCGAATTATGACGCAAGCAGCGACGCGGACACCGCGGTCTCGAGTGAGCGAAGGCGCAGACTCCGCGCCTCGCAACAGCAGCAACGGCCGAGGCGGGAGGGGTCAAGATAGTGGCTCCGCGGGCGGGGGAGGCACTGG